CTTTGCTGCTGAAGCATTTCGATTCGTTCGTGAGGCTGCTCCTGTCTTGGCCACAGACAACTTCAGCGACGACCTCAAGCGCTCCAGCCCCGCACATAGTTACAGTGCTGAACCCTTCGCCGCGGCATCGCCTTATGATGTTCATATACGAGGGTGTGTTGTTGCCGCACATTGGTGGCACACGCACACACGATCGATCAGCATGAAGACCCTTTTTGCCCGAGGCGTACATGTGGTCGTGCTATTGTGCGCGGCAAGACGTTGCACAATGCCGCTTGCAACGTCCAGCGTGCTAGATCCGAAGACAGTTCCCACGCGACCACGACTGCTATTCTCAAACATGTGCGAGGTCAACAAGCCACGGGACATCGTTGTGATTGGTGCTGAGTTCACGCGGAGTTGGGTCGCAACGGCTCCGAGGTGGAGGATTATTTTCAGAGGGTGCTCTCACGGGTACGAGGGATTGAGCGTGAAGAACGGCTAGCTTGGCAGGCTCAACATATCCGAAACTGCTTCCCGCATACTTTATGTGTTGAGGCTAATGTCTGAACGCGCTATGCCTTTTGGTGCTGGCGCAACCCTGGGGATTGGCAGTCCCATTGACGGCCCTATGATACCCAGGTCTTCTGCCGACCGTGTTCGACGAGCCCGGGTTGTGGACACTGCGCGCACAGTGGAAGCAACAGGCCGCTCCTGCTGAGTTTGGATTGCATTAGCGATAAAGAGTGCAGCGCAAAGAAGCCGCTGGGCTGGAAAGTTCACAATTCTGGGAAGCACGTTAAAACGGTCTCACGCTCTATACATAGGAAGATGCGCTTGGACGAGTTTTCACAAGTCACCGAGTCGGCGGCTCAGGAAACAGGCAAATATTCCAACACACGCGCAGCTGCCAGAGTCGACAGGTGCCACCGACACCAGCTCGAACGCGATTGGCGAGGAGCCATTACCCAGGTTCCAAATATTCAGGCAGCGATGAAGGAGTGGACAGAGGGCAAGGGGCTTCGCTACTTGACGCAGGAAGCGCTCTTTGAGGCGATAATCGAAAATCCCCGCGGCGGCGGCTGGGATCGAAAAGCGCAATTCTGCGGCGGGCTGCATGGCGCCGCATGAAGCCGAGAAAGAGAATGATCCAACCACCACGCCGCCCATCATCGCGCGGACAGGGCAGGAGAATCACACCAAGCAGCTATATATCTGAAGCTACGCCTAAACCCCTGAAGCCCCTCACTGAATCCGACCCCCGTTCCAGCTCGACAACATTCACTTCCTATCGCCCCCTCAAAAGCAGAACATGGTCGACGGAGACGCGTCAGGCACTTGCCGCCCTTGGGGAGCAATGCACCTGAACACGCACCGAGTAGTATAGATTACGGAAATAAGAGACAGGGCGTTTATGGGAGGGCGCACGCGGAACAAGTCGCAGCACGGGGAGAAGACGGGAATGTTATTAGCTTAGTGGGCGCGCAGTCTGATTTTTATGAATACAATATGTCATCCATATTTCATCGGCTTCACCTTGGGGCGTTGTCTGCTGATGCTGAATGGCACAGTGTGATTTTACGCCCTCCCTCGCGTACAAGTATTAGCATGTAGCGTGCCATTGTGTGACCGAGGACGACTGTGATCTTCCGGCGCTACAAACAACTTTGGTTTGGGGTTGTAGCAGGTTCGCGCACGTTGTATTTCCGGTCAACGGATCTATCGCGCACCGTACTACTCGGTCGCGCTCGCATCCATCACGCCCATCGTTGATCAAATCATAGGGCCGACGACGGTAATGACACCTGCCTATCGCGTTAACCAACCACCCTGCGATCTTCTCATAGTCGCGCCGTCCGCTTCCCTGACGTCGCATGGGCTGGCGGACACTGGCCCGCCCTGCCCGCGCGCGCGACGGCGCCGAAGACTGGGCAACAGGGCAGCGAGACCAATGCGAACGCTCAGACAATGTACCATTATGCAAGTTACGCGGAGAAGCCTGCACCAGTATGCTGACCAGACCAGACTTGATCGCGACGCAACGCATGCGGCCATCAGAAGGTGGCGATGCCCCGGAGAGTGCACCGTTGCAGGATCTCCATGCGTTGTTGGACTCTCAGAAGACATCCGGTTGCCTGGCACTGGCGCTTAAAGAAATGCGCGCGCCTTGGTTCTTAGATTCGACCGCCGCCTGCCATGTCTATCTGCGCCTCCATCGATGGCGGGAGGAGCTTGCTCGAACCGATCAAGGACAATGTCGGTAATATGCCCCCCTAGGCAATATGCCCATCGATAAGGGCACTCTATCATTGACGCGGCATTCCCCGTTGCGCAGGCGGCCCAAAAACGCACGCAATGAGAGCGTGGATTTGATTGAGGGCGCGTCGGCGGACACCCCGAAGGCTTCTCGGTGATGCGCGCCACTTTAAGGTGCTTCAAAGTTTGCAGCGGGGAGAAGTACCTGAACCCGGTATATCAGAGCTTATGATACATACGCGATCAGCCCGATACAGTGCGCACACACGCGGCGATTCGGCTACGAGAGGGATCGGATTGGGGGCCCGTGTTCTTCAAAGAGTGTTTTGACTGACCTGATTGGGCCCGATCTGGAATCACACTGCGCTGAGGGTGGGGGGGGGGCATGGAATAGCGTTGTTGGGCGCCAACCAGAGCCCCGGCCATTGCAAGAAAGGGCGCGAGAGATGCAACACCAAATGCATTCTCGTTGCGGCATGGAGCGGCGATGCATGCACAGTGCGAACGTATCTTCGTGAGCTCCGAAGTATATGGAAGACGTGCTGCCCCCCTTCTACACGGATGGCAACCCCCTGCAGGTCGCACTGTATAGTTGGGCACAACACTGGCGAGAAGAAGCCGCGCCACAATATTTTTGAATTCATCACCATGCAGAACGACAAATACATGAAGATAACCAGTCACGGCTCGCACATCCCCACCAGCCCATTCAGAAGCCGTGCCCATGTGCGATGACGGGAAAAGGGACGAAGAGACACATCTAGAGAAACAAAGCGAGCAACCAGGATGAACCGAGAGATCTCTGGGAGCAAGGGGTGGTTTTGGAAGGCCTCCTCGGGCCATCCCTGGGGGCCGCGTGGGGGCAAGGGAAGAGGAGGAGGAGCAGGAGGAGGATGAGGACGAGGAGGAATAGGAGGACGTGGATGAGGACGAGGACGAGGAGGACGAGGACTAGGCTGCTGTTGCTGGTGCTCTCTGGGAGTTTTGGGGGCCCTCTTGGAACCCTCTTGGTAACCCTGGAATGTTTCTTGGGATCATCTTGGAGGCCATCGATTACAGGATGGGGGGGTCCCCAACTTCCCCCCCCCCCCCCTCAGGAGCCGGCAGCCCGCTTCTGCGGGCTCTCTTGGAGCGCTCTTGGGCGTTTTGGGAGCGGCCTTGGGGCCGCTTGGAGCATCATGGGGGCCATTTTGAACCAGCTTGGGCTATCTGAGCCATTCAGGAGGTCATTTTGAGCTCTCTGAGGCCGCTCGGTGGTCTCTTGGGAGCCTCTTGGGTGCCTTTTGTGGGGTCCTGTTGGGACCCTTTTGGGGCCCTCTTGGGGCTCTCTTGAGGCCCTCTTGGATCGAGGTCCCCCCCTCGGGGGCCACGATCCTTGTGAAGGGTTGTCAAAAATTGCTCCCCCCAGGGGCCGAAATAGTGCCTTCCAACGACAAGCGAAACCCCCCAAAAAGTCCACGGGGTAGGTGGAGAGGTCAAGACGCCACCCACG